ACATTTAATACCCCCATCCAATCACAGTGATTTTTACAGGCAGAGTTGACACATATAGTGATGTAACTGCCAAGGCTGATGGAACAGAAAGATCCTTTGCCCTTTTCTAGTGCTGGAGTTGGGGCTTGTGGGGAAAAAACCTTTTGTTTTCCCTCCTCATCCCTCCCCTCTGAATTACCTTGTAGCAGGTGACTTGCTCCAGGGGCCGGGGTCCTCTGTTCCCACTGTTGTTGTTTTGAGACTGCATGACTCCAATGACTTGGGGTGTCCTCTGTTGGTTTGGAGAAGAGTTCTGACTCGTTAAGTGCATCAAGGATAAAGATCTCTGTGGTTGTTATTTTGTTTAGAAGGGAAAAAGAGCACCCCATAATGTCAAATGATCAATTTTCCTCCAAATCTGTGTGTGGGTGCTCTGCCAGCTGGAGCACCAGAGAGAAGAAATCAGGCACTGAGCCTTACAAAGCCCAGAGATCCTGTTTTTCTCTGAAAGCAGATTTGGAGAGTAGGTTTAGGCTGCTAAAATATCATTGCCATCACGGAGGGATGTCACACAGATTACACAAACTGGCAGACTGCTGCACAACCACGTGTGACGTGCTCCTGTGTCGCGTGGGAGTGTTCTGTGACCAGATCTCCGTGTCAAGTTGGAACAATTGTGGGGCTCTCATCACTATGGTGCTCACTCCTTAATTCTCCCTTCCAGACCCAAGAGCCTGAGTGCCCAATTTTGACCACTTGGACAATATATTCTACTTTAAAGTGCTGTGGGAAAGGCTTGAGGGCAGGCGTGTGGGGGAGGCAGGGGAAGTGTGTACCTTTTGCTGTGTTTGTGTCGGCTGAGGCAGTGGTGGTTGCTCTGTGGTTCCCATTGGCAGTTCAAACCGAGGGCTGGTTTAGATGGAAACAAGAAAATTGATTCTCAAATCATATCCCAACGTTTTAGCATCAGCTCAGTCAAGTAAATCCAAAGAACAGAACGTTCAGCCAATTGAATTTGGCTCACAGGAAACAGACCTCCCCCTTCCCACTTCTCTTTCCATGTGTGTAACACATCCCTCTGCCTGTGAAGCCTTCTGGAATATAAAACCCTGTGATCCCACTGCACTGACAGCATCTAATCACCACTCCAGAGTCTTACTGGGAGCTCTCTGGAGAGACCCTGCCTCATATCACAGAATGGTTTGGGCTGGAAGGGACCTTAAAGCTCATCTTGTTCCACCCCCCTGCCAGGGGCAGGGACACCTTCCACTAGCCCAGGTTGCTCCAAGCCCTGTCCAACCTGGCCTTGGACACTTCCAGGGATGGGGCAGCCCCAGCTTCTCTGGGCAACCTGTGCCAGGGCCTCACCACTCTCACAGGGAAAAATTTTTTCTGATATCTAATCTAAACCTACTTTCTTTTGGTTTAAAACCATCCCCCTTGTCCTGTCACTACATGTTCTTGTAAATAGTCTCTCTTTCCTCAGATGAGTACAAATTTGGCCAAACTAAACCTTGGCCAAACCTCCAAAGCCATTGGGAAGCACTGGAGCACCCTCATTTGACATTTACCGGATTCCAAGGGAAACAGAAGGTTCCAGGCCAGGCCTGGAGCATACTCACTGCATGAATTTACAGGCAGGTCCCTCTGGGCAGAATCCTACCAGGTAATTCACACAAATGACTCTCCGAGTGTGCCGGTGTCTGCAGAGGGGACCTGCAATACAGAGCTCAGCAGTCTCCATTTCATAAATCCCTACCCCAGCACTCAGCAGAGCAAGTACACCAGCAGATCATGCAAAGAGAGAACAGCAACACCCCACCCCTGACTTAGAGCCACAGAAACAGCAGCTGTGTGAGGTACATACCGTGTTTACAGAAGCCTCTGTCATACCAGGGACAGTCTTTGATCTTAGACTCCGGGTCAATGTGCAAGAATGGACATTCTTTGTTACTGCATTCCCCTGTACCAAAGGCAAACACACTTCTCAGTCAATGGTGCAGGTCTGAGTTCAAAATGACTCTCAAAACATCACCTGGATCGTGTAGCTCCCACAGGGCTGTTGCCAACACTCTTACTGCACAACAGTCTTACTGCCTGTCTGAACCTACATGGAGAACACCAAGGATTCATCCCTGGTGAGTAAAGTTCTACCAGACTGGATAATTTATGTGTGCTTTTAAAAACAACGGGGAAACTAAATTTGAAAGAGCAGTCATGATAACAAAAACCAAATATTTAGTGCACCAGAAGTGTGGAGAAACTACAAATTGCACACTAACCTCAATCCAAGGAAACCTACAAGACTGTAGGTTTCTGGCAGCAAGTTGCCTCATTATGTCCAGATCTCCAGAGCTGGAAAGCAAGTGCATAAAAGTTTTGCACCCCCATGCCCTCTGCTGCTCATCAACTGCCCAAAATAAGTCATGCAAAGACCAGCTGCTCAGCCTACTCATCTCTTACCCCAAAAAATGAACATAAGGCATAAAACTCAGTGAAAACTTGAACTTCCCCCCTCTTCCTGCAAAGGGGACGAGCTCTTGAGAGTGAAGACATCTACAATATGTCACAAAGTTGGGTGGATAATAAGGTGAAGGACTAAGCAGATCTGAAAAAAATGATAATCTAACACCTCATCACACACGGAAGAACCGGAATGCTCTGAAGATGGATGAGAGGGATGTACCAGGATCCTCTTCACCAGACTCCCACACCAGCAAAGGACAACAAGCAGGGGTTACTTACCAAATTTGGAGTAGAAGTAACACTCAGGCATCTTGGTCATGTCATACTCGTGCAGAAACTCGCACTGGTCTCCCTTTTTGCACAGTCCTCGCAGCCAGTGTTTACAAACAACTGTCTTTTCCCCACTGATGTGTCGGAACGGGCACATGCCCCCTGTGGAAGGACGGATGGGGCAAGGAGAAGGGAGAAGAGAACAATTCAAATACATGTCACAGGGAGGAACAGGGCAACAGCAACACTTTGTGCCCCTCTGCAAGAGGGGTTTCAGAAGACATCAGTTGTGATTTCAGCCTTAAGTGACAACAGCAAAAGAGAGAGTTCCAAAAAAAGTCTTGTGTAACCCTCTGAAACAGCCTCCAGCTCTTACTATTGACAACTGTAAACCACAGCAATTAATACAGGCACATCCACAGCAAGGTCTGTGTGTGGCAAGTTCACACCTTCCTTTAACAGCAGCTTTCTTTATTCACCTCCCAATGTCTTTAAAATATACCATTATTTCCCAGCTGCTGCAGTTATTCCAACATCCTTCAGTTATATCCTCTATCTGTGTTATGCCCTCAGCTTTACTGATCAAGAGTACTATAAACAGAGCTAGAAAATCTGTTTTTCACCCGTCCACCCTGCAGGAATAATTGCATTTTCCACCATTCCATATGACTTGCCTTTTCCACATGCCGCCTTTAAAAAGAACTCACAGACAGCCGCGCCCGATTCTGTGGAGAACAAGGAAATATAGTTAATTTCAACAAAGCTTCGTGGCAACTTTTTAATTATTTCTCCCTAGAAAGACAATCTGGTCCTCAACATCGAAAGAAAAGCAGCATTTTGGTTTGAGGAATTTACTTTCCTTGTTCAAGCCTGGCCCTTCACAAATATCTGTAATTTTCTTGGGGGCACCAAGGGGAATTTGCAGAGATTTGGTGGTGCTTGTTTTGTTTTTCGGCTATTTTGGTTTTGTTGATTAGGTTGTCCTCTGCCATTAAGTCAATCATGTCAATAAATCACAGAATATTCTGAGTTGGAAGGGACCCACAAGGATCACTGAAGTCCAACTCCTGAACCCTTTACTTACAGTCCTGGCCTTAACAGTCTTATAGTTTTTAACCAGAACAGCCCGAAACAACCATTAGCATGTTATCCCTTGGTGATCCTGACCAATAGGAATGTTCAAGGGAGTTAAAACAAAACTTTAGTAGACTAGCCAAAAAAATCCAGCAAACTACGAGTCTCCTGAGTTTGTTTGTGTCAGACTGAAGGAAAAGGTTTAGAGACTCAGCCACAGATAAATCTAAAGATGAGAACTTCCTGCCATTCAAAATGCTTCATGTATCAAGAGATGAAAGGGGAAACATAAAGTACTGTGCAGGACAGTGATGTTTATTCAACATGAGCACCTCAGCGTTCATTTTTCCAGCGTGGCTAGGTACTAACGAGAGTTTTTGTTAAGTAAAAAACAAAAACATCTGGATTAGGACAGACACCTCATGGGAAAGCGGAAGTTGGGTGGATCTAAGGATAAGACCCGAGGAAGATCCTGAGATCCCGGGAAATCTCCCACCCACCCCAGCCCAGCCCAGCCCAGCCTCCTCAGCCTCACAGTCCCAGCGGCCCCAGCACCCAGAGAGGAAGGACCCCACACGCACTGTCCATGCCAGGGAAGGGCAGCGGCTGCGCCCCCAGCTGCTGCTCCACGGCCAGCTCCAGGTCGAACGTGATGTGGTCCACGCTGGCGATGAGCTCCTGCATGGTGGCAGCTGGGGGCCGGCGGCAGTGGGAGGGTAGGGGCGGAATGGTGGCGGTGGTGGCCGCGGCGGCCGGGCGGGCCCGGGCGGGCCCGGCCCGGCCCGCTCCGCTCCGCGCCGGCAGCGCCTGCGGTGAGGGGAGGCGGCGGCGGCAGCCCCGTGGCCGCCCCGCGCCGCCCGCCCGCGGAATGACGGGACCCACGGCGGGCACGGCCCGCCCGGCGGGCAGCGCGCGCGCTCCCGCCAATCAGCGCCCGCGGCGCCGCGTCCCCGGCGGGCAGCGCGCGCGCTCCCGCCAATCAGAGGCCGCCCGCCGCCGCCCCGCCGCGGACACGCCCCTTCCGCACGCGCAGGCGCCGAGAGTCAGAGGAGGGGCGGGGCGGGGCGACGGTGCGTGTGAGGGGCCGGGCCCTCTCCCCGCTCTCGCTGTCCCGCTCCGGTTTCCGGTCTGGTCCCGCGAGGTCCCGGCTCCGCTCCGCGCTCCGAACCCCGCTCGGGTCCCTCCTCCCTCCCGGGGGCAGCGGGCACACCATGAGCTCTCTGCGGCTCCTCGTCCCGCGCTGGTGCCGCGGTGCCTCCCCCGCTGTGCTGCGGGCGCGGGGCGCGGCCCTCGGGGGTGGCTCCGGGCCGGCCCCGTTCCTGCCCCGGCCCCCGGGCCAGGCCCCGCTGACACGGCTGTGCAGCTCCTCACAGCCCTCCTGCAAACTGCCCGGGAGCGGCCCCGGGGACATCGGTGCTGGCAGCTGCACTGCAGCCCCCGAGGAGGAGGAGGAGGAGGAGGATGAAGGCGTGGAGTTCGGGACGCTGTCTGATAAGTTTTCCTCTAGAAAGTATTACCACAAAGCCTCATCACGCTTTTGGGATTTAAAGCTTCAAGAAGAGGGGGAGGAAGAACCAGAAAGGAAACCTCGACGTGGCCCTAAGAACACACCGTATTGGTACTTCCTACGGTGCAAGGCCCTCATCAAAGAGGACAAGGTTTGGTCCCAGTTCTTCTCTCTTTTTTTAATATCATTGATGAAAGATGCAGCTCTGACCCATCTATCACTTACTCGGTATCTCTACAGAAAGAAAAAAAATAGAATTTGTTGTAGAATCGTCACAGAATCCCAGAATGGTTTAGGTTGGAAGAGACCTTAAAGCTCATCCAGTCCCACCCCCTGCCATGGGCAGGGACACCTTCCACTATCCCAGCTTGCTCCAAGCCCCATCCAACCTGGCCTTGGACACTTCCAGGGATGGGGCAGCCCCAGCTTCTCTGGGCAACCTGTGCCAGGGCCTCACCACCCTCCCAGGGAACAATTTCTTCCTAATCTAAATATCCCCTTTTTCAGCTTAAAGCCATTCTCTTTTATCCTGTCGCCACATGCCCTGTCAAAAGTCCCTCTCCAGCCTTTGTATGAGGAACCCCACGCTCTGTAGGACTTCTACTGCTATCTGCCCACAGCTGCATGCTTTAATATCCATTGTAATTCATTCTCTTGTTCCTTATTGTGGATTTTCCTCTTCCCTGTAGCTGGCAGAGGCTCTGGAGCTGTTTGAGGTGCAGATGCTGAAGGAGGAGCGTGTCCAGCCGGCGGAAAGCAATTACACCGTTCTCATTGGTGGCTGTGGCAGGGTTGGCTATGTGAAAAAGGCATTCAGGCTCTACAATGACGTAGGTTTAAGTTGTCTCTCAAAACACTTTTCCAAACTAAAACCGTTCCAAACATTCAGTCGCTTCACTTTGTCTCCAAAACGCCTTTGAGTGAAGCGTTGGCACCTTCTTAGCCTGAAACTCTTAGAAGCAAGTTAAAAAGTTCTACAGGCCCTGCCTTAAGGAAGCAAGTTCAACTGCTCCTTCTCTTCCCCTAGATGAAAAAACGAGGGTTGGTCCCCACGGAGGCCACTTACACGGCCCTGTTCAACGCCTGTGCCGAGTCGCCCTGGAAGGACTCGGGGCTGCAGAGCGCCCTGAAACTGCGGCAGCAGCTGCAGAGCAAGAACGAGGAGCTGAACCTCATCACCTACCACGCCCTGCTCAAGGTCTGCGCCCTCTGCTCGGACCTCAAGATGTGCTTCGATGTACTCAAGGTAAACAGGTCGTTTTTCCCACGTTAAACCTGGTCTGCTGTGGTGAAAGCTCCTGGAAGTCGTCATGTCGCGTCATTTTTTTAATTTCGTTTCCAGCAGAGAGAACGGCAGATCATGTGTTTGTGTTTCATTGGGCCTTATTCTCCTGCAGTGAAATTCTACATACCAAACACCAAGTACCTAAAAAGAGCCAGCTTTGGCTTTAAAATTGGTCAGGTGTTATAAAAATAACATCAGGTGTGTCAGAAACTTACCAAACAACTTTTCTGTGGAGTCTCCCCTCCTCATTTTGGACACCTGTATATTGATACCTGGCTCCTTTTAGGGCTCTTACAGCAGCTCTTCTCAGAAGGGCCAGTCTGGGAATAGCTAAACGGATTGTTGTTTCTGCCTCCAGATTCCCCATACCTCCCATAAGGATCTGGGCATGTTTCAGGGCTCTCTTTCTCCTGGAGCAGTGGTTCTGTTCACCCTATGCCTTGTTTCTGCTCTTTCCCCAGAAAATGACAGTAGAATCAGAGCTTCACAGCCAACTGCACCAGACTGGATAACTGGGAAGTTTAATGTTTTCTCTGCTTTTTTAGGAGATTGTGCAGAAGGGGCATGTCCTGACAGCTGAGACCTTCAGCTTCCTTCTCATGAGCTGCATAAAGGACAGTGAAAACGGGTTCCGATATGCCTTGCAGGTGTGTCCTCATGTTCTAACTGGGAGGGGTAAGTGCTGCTGTCTTGTAACTCATCACTTGAACACAGTAAGTGGCTCGGGGCTGGTGAAATGGGAGGAGCTCAGCTCCTCCTAGGACAAGTTCTGAAAACTAGACTTCCACCAGGACATCCTATACGCTGGTGATCAGCCCTGGATCATCTCACAGGGCTCCACTAACTTGAGGTCACTCACCTTGTCGTGCTGTAAACTCACTCCTCTGCACACAGATCCCATTGACAGATGTGCCTACAGCCTGCTAGACATGCTGCTGTTATTTAATATCACATCAGGTGTGCATCTTCCCCTCTTCAGGTCTGGAAAGAAATGACTAAACTTGGGATAAAGGGCAACAGCCACACCTACAACCTGATGCTGCGCGCGGCGAGAGACTGCGGGATCGGCGACCCCGTCCTGGCCTCTGAACTCCTGCTCAGACCCCCTGAGAACTCACCTCAGCTACGGCTCCCACCTGGGAAGCGGAAGGAAAGGATGAGAAATTGGAGGAAGAAGGGATCAGAGAGTGTTGCTGTCCAGCTGGATGTGGAAGCTATGGAAAAGCAATTATTTCAGGAGAGCTCAGTGCAGCCCGAGGAACCAATTCAGCAACAAAATAAAGATGTGAATCAGGCCGAAGAAGAACCAGCTGCTCCTGACAGCCCCAGTGTCATCCACAGCAGGGCTGGAGCCTTGATGAGGAGAGACCACAGGGAGATGGAGCTGGAACAGGCACATCCAAGCCAGGAGCTGCCTTTCTGCAACCTGCCCAACTTGCTGGATTCCAGGATGCCTGACGCAGCCGTGGTTTCCTTGGGGACAGTGGCCACACCATCCCACAGGCTGGCTTTGATGGGGGACGTGGAGGGATTCTTGAACAAAATGAAAGAGGACAATGCAGAGCCCAACATTAAAACATTCACGTTACTGGCTGAGCTGGTGGAGCCCCAAAGCCCCTCAGAGTCCTCCTTGCTGGCACTGCTGGATGAGCATAAAGTGAAAGTAGATGTGACCTTCTTTAACACTTTAATAAGGAAGAAAAGCAAACAGGGAGACCTGGAGGGAGCAAAGGTGAGAGAAAAACCTCAGAACCGGCCCTCTCACCACCTCCTTGTCTCACGCCTCCTGTGTTTTGCTGTGAGACCCATTTCTCTGTCCATGACAGAAACTGGGATCTCACATTTTTCCACAAACTGGTACTTGGGTTAATTTCTAAGTATGGATTCCATTTTAGCACATCCAGCTCCCTGTCTGGAAAGCTATAGTAATGCTTTTTGGGAACTGATGCCAAGACTTGTATCTTGCAGAGCGTGCTGCCAGCTCTGGTGAAGAGGGGACTGTCACCCAACCTCCAGACATTCTGTAACTTGGCAATTGCTTGCCACCAGGAGAAGGATGGACTGCAGCTCCTCTCAGATTTGAAGGTAATCAAAGAAAAATCCTCTGCTGCTTGGGGTTCAAGCTGCAGGGAGAGGCAAAATGAAGGGTTAATGCTGCTAAAATACCTGCTGAGGTTTTTGTGGCAGGTAGTTGTGTTCTCACTTCCAGGGAGCTGTGCTCCTTGTGTGAGAAGGAGGCTTTTCCTTCTCGGAGTTCTGCACTAGTCAGCAGATAAAAAAGTTTAACTGCAGCATTTGTGGTTTCCAGAGGTCTGGAATAACTCCCAACAAGTACATCTACAGCACCCTCATTGCTGGTGCTGTGAGGAAGCTGGATTACAGTTACCTGACGGAGATCCTGCGGGACATGAGGAACAACGAGGTGGCTCCCAACGAGGTGATCATCCGCCAGCTGGAGTTCGCAGCACAGTACCCCCCAAAATTCGACAGGGTAAGGAGCCAGCACTGCTCAGGGTGTGAAGGGGTCACAAAGGACAGCAGCAGGGGAGGGGAACTGTAGATGCCTGAGTTTCCTTTGGGTTTGTCTGATCTGGCTGACGTGATCACTCTTTCTTTGGTAGCAGCTTGTAGCTCTCTCGGTACTGAAGTGAGTTCTTGTCTAACAGAAACTTGTTGGATTTCTGTTTGCAGTACAAGTCTAGGAACCCATACCTGGAGAAGATTGATGGTTTCCGTGGCTACTACCACCGGTGGTTAAAAGTTATGGCTGGAGAGGAGACCCCCCACCCCTGGGCCAAATACAGGACAGCCAAACGTGGGGTGCAGGACAGCAAGGCCGAGGCTGTGCAGGAACAGTGAGCAGGAGGAGGGCATTTCAAGTTCTTCCAGCACAAGGAACATGCATGAATTGCTGCTTCAAACTGCTTGTAGTAAAGCTGCTTCTACATAATAAAATATTTTGTTTTAAGGAGAAGCAAATACGTTTTCAGTGGATTTCCTTAAGAGGATTAGACAGGCTGTAGTTCAGCAAAACCTGTGCTTAACAAGGAAGAAGCAAAATCAGATTGAACAGGGCTTTAACTCAGTGCTGGTTTTGACTGTGTTCTGTGTTCTGTCACTTCACATGTGACCTGTAAGTCTCTAGACTGCTGGCATTCCTGAAAGGATCTATGCATTAATTCCAGGGTACACACCTCAGCAGAGAATTCCAGTGAAATTCAGCTGCCACCTACACAGGGTCAGGGAAGAGCTCAAATCGAATTGGATGCTGGGAAACTATTATTTTCTTTCCAAACAGCCTTTTAAACTGAAGTTAGTTGAGAAGGGTGAGAGCTGGTTGAAAACCAACCCACATTCAGAACAACCTTCAAACCAAGCACCCAGAACACATCCAACAGGAGAAAAGGGGCACAGGAATGTTTTGCCAGAACATGACACCACTCTCAGGAAGGCAAACTTTATTTTAAAATAAATGGCTACACAAAACCCTACTCCAGAGCACCCTCTCCCTCCCATTTATGCAGGATCCAGGTGATTATGCTGCTGCTTTAATTGCTTTACAGAAATATCCCATCCCAGGAAGTGGTGCAATTGCACTCATAGTCCACTGAGGAGGAGGAGGACATCCCTCAGAGTTCCCAAAGCAGTCTGATGACCAAAGGCTTCACCCAGAACAGCCTCTGCATCCACAGTGAGTGCACTCAATGATTCTGCCCTGAAAAACAAACACGAGGAAGGTGTTTCAGCCAAGCCACAGACAGAGCAGGCTCAAGCCTTGAGGCAGGGAAGAGCTGTGTGTGGGAAGGGTTTCTACTGGCTAGCTTTCTGTTATTTCCCATACTTTAACAACTTTAAATGAGTGCCAAAGCTGATAGTAACTTTAGAACCAACTAGACACCAACTCTACCAACACAGGTAGCAAATGAGAGAGGTAGGAAAAGGTAGAGGAAACTACCAGGAAGAACAGCACAACCTCCTCTGCTGTCCCTGACCTCAGAGAAGTCAGACCAGGTCCTACAAAGGTCCAGACCAGCAGAGGAACAAGCTGCACACTCACCACTTCCAGCTTGCTTTTGGGGACCCTGCAGATGCAGTTGGTTCCGAAGTTGGTGTCCCGTGTCTGGATGCAGCGCAGGCAGCACAGGTTCTCATAGCCCTGCTTCTTCCACTTGGCAATCAGGTTCTTGTCAGCATAGCCCTCCTTGATGCAGTACTCGTAGAGCTCTGGGGAGGGGCAGACATCACCACAGGGAGGTGTTGGAACACTCAGGAGTTACTGGCTGTAGTAACCAGCTGCCCAGCCTTCCCTCCACCCTCCCTCCCCACAAACCTGATCCTTCCCACCAGCTCCCAGTTCAGGTGCATCCACAGGTCGCACATCACTCCAGTCTTCCCCTGCCCAAGGTAAAGCCCTGCCCTCTCACCTCTGCTGATGGCTTTCCTCTTGTAGAAGAGGTCGAAGATATAACGTGTTTTCTGGTGGTGGATTCTGAAGATGGGCCACAGGGATTCCACTTTCCTCTTCCCCTCGTGTGGCTCTGTCTCCGCTGGGAGGGAACACAAACACCAGGGTTCAGCTGGCAAATTATTTCCTCAGTCATTTGGCAATAAACTGGTCCAAGGGCACTCATAACTTTAATACATGGCAGGGATAAGACTGATTTTAATGGGAGAAGACTCAAATTAAAGAGGCCTGACCTGGAACAGTTCCTTTAGGGAATAAACCCACTGGCAGTGGGGTGACAGTGACCCACACTGGGATGGTCGGTGACTTCATGCCTGGACAAGAACTACAAGTCTTTCCACACCCAAAGGAGCTCCAGCCCTAAACCAACCTGTAACCAAAGCTCTGTGCTCTGTAACCTGAGCTCACACCAAACCCAGGGACCAGCCCTGGCCCAGGCTCAGCAGCACTGGACAGAGCAGGTCCATCTGTACATGCAGGGCAAGCTGAGCTTCGTGAAGCAGCTCCCTGGAGCTTGTTCTGGGGTCACGGCCCCACTCACCTTCTCTCATCTTCTGATCCAGCTCATCCAGCGTGGGCTCAATGAGCTCCCACCCGTCTGGGGGGGGCTTCCTGCTCCTCTTCACTTTGGGCATTGCCTCAGGAACAGAGGGGGAAAGGCGAGGGCTCGAGGGTCTGCCTGCACTGCCTCGGGATCACTGGGGAAAAACAAAAGAAAGCAGTTGCCAGATATGTTTCCCCTAAGGCTTCTGTGCCCTTTTCCCGTTTTCCTCTTCGAGGGTAAAAACGAGCTTCACGGAGCTCGTGAGAGGGGTGGAATCCCTGTGTTTGCTGCACAGTAAATTGGTTTTTCTCCTCCCCCACCCCGGGCCACCCGAGGCGACAGCTCCCGGAGCTCCCGGTGACAGCGGGGCGAGGCCCCGGGCCCGGCACCGACGGCCCAGAGCGGAACCCGGGGGCGCTGGGGGAGAGGAGAGGCCGCGGATCCCGATCCCTATTCCTGTCCCGGGCCCGCTCCCTGCTCCAGTCCCGATCCCAGTTCCTGTCCCGATCCCGACTCCTGTCCCGGCCCCGCTCCCTGTTCTGATCACGGTCCCGATCCCAGTCCCTGTCCTGATCCCTGTCCCGGTCCCGGCCCCGCTCCCTGTTCTGGTCACGGTTCCAGTCCCGATCCCGTTCCCTGTCCCGGCCCCGCTCACCCGCCGCTCCTGGTCCCGATCTTAGTCCCGATCCCAGTTCCTGTCCCGTTCCCAATCCCAATCCCTCTCCTCTCACCTCCGCTCCCGTCGCGCCGCCTCCGTCACCGGGGTCCTCCCGGGCCCCGCCCTTGGGCCGCCCCACGCGCTGCCCGAGCCAACACCCCCCACCCCCGCCGCCGCCCCTCCCGCCGCCGCGCCCGGGAACGGGGAGAGAAACCACCGGGACAGAGACAGAGAAACCACCGGGACAGACCCGGCCCGGCCCGGGGGCGGCGGGGGCGGCCCCGCTCGGGGTCCTGCGGGCGGGGGCGGTCCCGGTTCCGGTTCCGGGGCGCCGCTCGGGCCGGGGGGGCCGCGCCGCCATCGCCGCGATGCCGAAAGGTGGAGGGGCCGCGCCGGGAGGACGGCGGGGAGGGCGCTCGGGGGGTGCGGGGGCTGCGGCGGGCAGGGATCGTGTCCCTCCCCGCAGGCTGTGGAGATGCTGCGGGGGGCCCGTTCCGCCCCCTCCCCCGGCCGGGGGTGGGCTCGGGGGGGTCCCTTTCCCCCTCACCGGGGGGTCCCGCTCTCCTTCATCGGGGGGTCCCTGAGGGCGCTCCGCGGCTGGGGGTGGGCGCTGGGGGGGATTTCGGGTTCCTCTGTGGGTTCCTCCCGCCCCCCCCGACACGGCGGGTTCCCCGCGCTGCCCTCAGGGCTGGGGGCCGCTCTGTGCCCCCCAAAAAGCGCGGCAGCCCCGGGGCGGGGGGCGCGGGTCCCCCCCGTGTTCCCGGTGTGAGCTCCGTGTGTTCCCCACGCCATGGGAGCCGCGGCCGCTCCCCCGGGACGGGGCTTGGGGCTCACGGGGAGGGGGTCCCGGCCACACCAGGGGGGTCCCGGGGGTTCGGGGCCATCCCGTTCCAGGGGCCGGGAAAGGGGCTCGGAGGGTCCCGGCCCGGGGGGGCTTCGGGGGCTCCAGGCGCGGCTCCTTTGATGTGGCCGCGTTCTGGGTGTTCCCGAGCGGGCACCGACTCGCTCCTCGTGTGATTCAGGAGCTGACGGGGCTGTCACGGCCGGGCTGGATCCACCCAGAACCTTCTCCACAGGCCCCATCTGCATAATTGGCTCCGGCAAGCCCCGTCGCACGCGTTTAACGCGGGCCGGCCCTCCCCGTTGCCCCTTCCCCGCCGTTTATTTCATCAGCATTTCCCAGGCTTCAGCACCAGACCCGATTCCCGGTTTAGATTTTCTTTAACCACCTCATTTTGTGCCCATCGTGCACGGTGCTGGTAGATGGGGCTGGGGCTTTCACGTGGTTTTTGTGAAGGCCGGTTTTAACCCCATTTTCCATATTTAAATGCCCTGTAACCCAGGATTCTTTGTTTCGTTGCACAGCTTTAAATCTTTAACTCGAACCTTTTGCTTTTTGGGAAAAGAGGGGTCATTGCTCGTTTCCTTCCCGCCCCCAGGTCAGTGGGAATTAGTGGATGGCAGTCAGTGGATTTTGGCACTCACTGTTTAACATAAAAGGGGGGGCATTAATCAGCCAATAATAAATTTTTTGTTACAGGATTATTTCTGATTATTTCGGTTTTTTGGGTTTTTTTTTTGTTTTTTTTTGATAACTTGATTTAAAAGAGAAGTGATTCCATCGGTATCCTTTTATTCTCTTTCATTTAAATCCCTTAATTTTGCTGTTTAAAGCTGAAGACAGAGGTGTTTGAGGGTTTGCCTGGCACAGTGGGCTTTGCTGGAGGTGAAATCTGCGGGTGGTGACTTTTTAAAAATGCTTCACAGAGGAGGAAAAGAATCATCCCTGTTTTGCAGATGGGGAAACTGAGGCACTGAGCTGCTCAGTGGCAGGTGTAGGACCAGCAATCCCTGTGTCTGACTGAGGTTTTGGGAGCAGAGCCATGGCCCTGCACCCCCTGAGCTCCCCCCAGTCCCTCTCGTGGGCTTCACTCTTCCATTTGCTTCTTTTTAGGCTTTTAATAAAAACTAATTCCTGTTTAGTTGCTTCTCTGCCTTATCACCCCTGTTTATTTGCAGTGATGAGGTTTTTGTGTTCCTCAGTCCCCAGCCCAGTGTGGAATTCTGGAGCAGCTGGATGAGGAGCTGCCTGGCCCCTCTTGGTGTGTCAGGGATCTTAGTGTTGCTCCATTTGGAGTGATGTCATGGGCTGGGCAGTGAGGTAATGTCTCCTCCAGAGCATTCCCATGGTAGATCCCCTTCCCAGAGGGTGTCAGTGTTGCCACGTGGGATGGTGGGAACAGACAAGCAGAAAACACCCATCTGTGTGTGCAGCGAGTTGTGCTTGTGGTTTGAGAGCCCACAAGCCTCCCCAG